CTTTTGCTTTAAATTTGACATGAATGTTCGTGTAGTATCATAGCCCTACGTATAAAGCACATCACAGGTACTGTACAACCACCTGGAACTTTTCCTTCTGGATTTCCAGACTCTTGGGGTTACTCATGCAGAAACACTTATGAATCATTGAAGAGTCCACTTCCAATTATCAAAGCTGTCAGAGTCATAGAGTTTCCTTTCAGTAACCTTCTTTTTACTACTTTTTCTTCTTTTAAGCATTATAATAATGATTGCAATAACAATGCATGACACATAATTTGGTGGTATTTTGGATAAATAACCCAACTATGCTTATGTTTGGGTCTGTAAATAATAGACATATGGGAATGCACTGCATTAGCCTCAGAAGTACGTTCTAAATCCACAAAGAAAGTACTGTGCTTACTGTAAAACCACTGATGGTTACAGAATAAAAACCCTCCTGTAAGGTAAACAATGTATGGAGTGAGTAACAGCCAGATGCCAGCAAGAAAAAGACATTCTGCTGAGTTTTGAGAAGAGCTGGAGCAGGGGAAGGAAGAAGGAAGGAGAGACTTTTTCCAAGTCAGGAAGGTACAGTCAACTTACAGGAGCTTTCTAAAAGGTGATAAGTTCCTGAAGCAACAAGGAAATGCAGAGGGGGGCAGGTTTCACAAAAGCAGGCTGAAGGAAGACTCTGGAGAACACATCAAACAACACCAGGGTTAGTAACATGGTAAATTGTTTTCCCAATGAGCTGTCAAAGTCACTGTTCTCAAATGCGATGGAGACAGGTGCCATCCTGATGGATGTCAAAGATCGCAGGAGTCTAAATGAGCAGGGAATTTTAAAAAAAAAACAAAACCAAACAAAACCAAGCACACAGGAACCTTTATAATGTAATCAGAAATAACTATGGGAAACTTTAGTCTTTTAAACTTATTGCTATATTGCTGCTGAACAAGATTTTAACCATAGCTTAGAAGTTCATGCCTATTAGCTCTAGCTTTTTGGCCTAGAAACCCATAATTATTACACAAAAGTTCTTTCTCTAGGTCTCATGCAGTTCTCAGATCCAACTGGCTGAAAGCCACCATGAGAGCAAAGTTTCTTAGAGCATTTTTAGATGTCCTTGTTTTATTAACCTTTCTTGACAAAAAAAATGAACTAAAATTCTGAATGAAAACAGAGTTTGTGTCCCTCTGTACCTAAAAGCAAATAAAAGAGACTAGCTGTTCCTCAAATTTACATGTGAAATAGTGTATGTCATTGCTCCATCTCAGCTGATTTACCTCTTCCTACTGTGTTTTCCTAAAAGCAATAAACCCTTCTGATGCAAGCATTTCCTTCCAGAGCTGTGACATACCCCTGGTATATATTGCCTGTTCAAAATAATCAAGTACTGAAAACAGCTTTTTACATCACTGCAAATATCAACTAAGATCTAGGAATTACTTCTTAGATAATAATTTTTCTCTAGAAAAGATAATCTTCTGGAACAGATATATTCAACAAATCAGGATAGTCCTGGACAAATAGGTTTGATAAATGATCAGGTAAGTGTTATAGGCTAAAATTCTATTAAATATGTGACAATAAGCATAGCACAAGGATGTGATGTGGTCACACCATGACTGAATATCATACCCATGAACAGTCTATGGATCATGTGCTTCAAAGTTTTCTCTCTATAAGAGTTCAGGGTTTTTTTCTCCTGCATTTTTTAAAATCATATTGCTCAGAAGAATAGGGAGATTTGTAACATGCTTATCAAGAGAGCCCCAGGGGAGTTTTTAATTCCCCCATCGTTATTTCCATAATTATTCAGCAGATCTGGTAATTTGAAAATTCTATTCAGTTCCTATTAATGAATTATTGTGGCAATACATTATAGACTTTAAATCAAACCAACTGCTACCACTTTCCAACATGTTTCTCAGGGCTTTTGACAGCTCTAGATATTTCTGGAATAAACTTAAATTTTTCAAATGATAGGAATGTGAGAACCAGAGTACTTTGCACAGCAAGAGCACTGGGAGACTGCAGCTTTATAACCAAAGTAGGACCCTGAAATCTGGCATCAGCTTTCAAAGCTACACAATCAGCAGCAACTTTGTTCTTGTTATTGGGAATATGAACAGGAGCATAGCACACCCTCCAAACCAAGAATGAGTCAGGTTTACTTACTTACATTGAAGCAGAGCAAACCACCAAATATGACTATTTCCCCAGCTTTAGCAGCATCAGGCACACCAGAGCTCAGTCAGCAGACTTCTTTAAAACAAAACAAAAAAAACCCCAACAAAAAAACCCAAACAGAAAACCCCCTAAAAAGCTCTGCTTTGAATAATAGTTTTGATGCCGAATCTATGAGGAGCAAAACACAGTTCTGAGGTTTCTTTTCCATCTACAAGTTTTTAGCCATATAGCTATAGATCAAATATATAGGCATCACCTGGTGCAAGTGACAATCTGAAGCTCAAAAAATTGCCTATAGTTATCTTGGCAGCCACTGGTACAGTGTTACACTTTGCTTTTTCTACTTGACCATGACGATGCAAGCGTAAGACATTTACAGCCTGGATTCATCTGACCAATTTTAGACTTCTAAGTGCTTTTCAGGTGTGATTTATCCCAAGAGAGAGATCAGACAAGCTATCTCCACAACCTATTTTACTTCATCAGTTCTAATAGGAGTCAAGGATGTTTAGCTGAGACACAGACGCCTGCACTATCAGTGGCTCCAGTTAGGGATCCAGCAGGTATCTCAAGTCACCTAATTTCTCTCCAGCTGTATGTCTCAAAAACCACAGTGCCACAGGGAAAATGATATTAATAAATCCCAAAGCCAGGCAAAGCATTTGTGAAGTGCAATGGGACCAATGTGAACAGACTGGAAATCACAAGTTCAGGGCTTGTAGCTTACAAGACAACCACATTCTTCAGATGTTTCTGTGCCCTTGAACGAGGAGCCATGTCTGTGATTACACTAAAAATTGCTTTAAGCATCCAGCTGTTTTACACGCCTCAGTAAAATTCACCCAGCTACCGCACATTCCAAAGCACAGGAACAGAGACACATTTACTAAGATATATTTACACTAAACTGACCCAAATCAGCGCTACTCATCCACAATCAAATTCCATCCCAGTGTGAGTAGCCAGAGTAGTTAAACTTGCAACAAAGCGCTGCCAGGGTCCTACTTTGAGAACTCAAGTATCATTTAAGAATCATGCTGTTTTTCCACAGTGAGCACAAGTCTACTGCTTGAAATTTATTCACCCATTTCATGGGGCAGAACCATATGGCCCACCATACTCTGCCTCATAAGAAGGACATTTCACAGACATGCTGCAAACATGGTTGGATGAGCACATTCCCAAGTTGTGCTGACCAATTCTCAACAGCAACTTGTCAAGCAGAGCCAGATGGTTGAAGGAATTTAAGCATTACAAGGCCTAAAGAAGTAAGGAATGGTCAAGTAACCACATTACTCACTCAGAGGACCATCTCTTCTTCACAGCACCCAAAGAAACAAAGCATAAGTTCCTAAATGACCTCGGGTGCAGAGTGCTGCACAGGGAGGCCCAACCTAGCACCAAATATTTTAGTCACTGGAATACCTTGCTGAAGGTACCTCCTTACAGCTTCCACACCAAACTAGAGCTCCTGCCTTTTCTGCATTCCCCTGGGAGGAATTGATGCAGCTAGGAAGGGATACAGAAGGGACAGAGGACATACCATTGAGAAACTTAGCTGTGTCTTACTCTGCTGCGTAGATATAGCCTCAGGACTACAAAGATAGAACTCAAACTCCTTCAACACCCTTGCAACACTAACCAGAAGGGGTATTTACAGCCTTTAAATAACCTACTCCTCATTGCCTGAAACCCTACAACAAGATTGCTTGCCATCTGCCTAATTAAATTGACCATTTGTCCCGATGAGAGGCAGCGGTGCTACTTAAAGCAATTAAGGTGGCACAGGAGGGAAGTGACATTTTTGATTTGGGAAGAGAGTGTTTGCAGCACTGACATCATTGAAACATTCATGGCTATGAAGAGGTGACATTCTTAAGTATGTAATGAAAAAAAAGACATTCACCAAACATGAGACTTTTCAGAAGTTCTAATTGAAGAAATGTGTTCCTTTAAAGATACCCTTCATTCCGATTGGAGAGATTTGCACCAAATAAAAGAATTGTGTCTCTAACAATGCAAAGTGTTTGTAGTCACCAGCAACAGTTTTACAGCATACACGTTTCCCTTTTGGTAGAGGGCATCCATGAGCTAGCAACAGTAATAAATCTGAATGCTAGCTCAGATAATTTTCCAAGTTTTAGGTCAAATGCTATCAAATTCAACTTATCAGCTCATTAAGATAAAAAAAGCCTTTTTGTCATTAGCTTTCTGATTAGTTTTCCTGCTTGAGCCCTTGCTAGAAGAGGGGAATGTGATGATCTCAGCATGTTTCAAAGAGACATTCCTAAAATAGCTAACTGCTCTGTAATTTTATCACAGTATAAGGCCTGAGCTTAGTGGTTAGGTTCCCTGATCTGCAGCCATACTGGTTTTGATCTTGTCAGGCTTCAAGCTAAGCAGTGACAGGCTTTTGAGCTGGCTACTCTGAGAGTAGTGGTATTTGTGTTTCATAAATGGCAGCCTTCCCTATGAGCAAAGATGGAAAATGGGCTGCAGCCTTGCAGAGCTCTTTGCCGCAGGGAGCTCTGTCCTCTTGTTGGGCACAGAGCACAGTGTCCTTTGCATGTATAAGACATGGGAAAGAAAGAGTTGTGTCGTATGAGGAGAAGTAAAAGAGTCACCATCATAGAAAAGAGAACTTGACTGTGCTCCAGAGAAGAACTCCAATAAGTCCAGTTTAGTGAAGCTTTATGTCATATCTCAGGTCTTGCACTGGGGTAGCTGTAAGGAAAGTACCAGAAAAAAAAAAAAAAAGAAAAAGAAAAAAGAAAAAAATTCCTCCTTTTAATATGTTTCACAAAAATGTGCTCTTATTTTAGAGTCTACATATCGTCACCAAGCTACCATTGATGATGAAGTGGTTTCCATGGAGATACTAGATACAGCTGGTCAGGTGCGTGGGTACATGTACTGTTATCCAATACCTTGGCTCAGATAGACAGCAGGGAAGGGGAGTGGGGTGGTGGCAGCAGTGTGATGGGTGACAGGTGTGTTCTGCTTCTGAGGACAGAGATTTGCCTCTGAGCAGAGCCCCCATCCTCCACCACCATCAGTTTGCTGCCAGACTCAGTGTGCTGGATCCAAGCCTTCTGCAAGGGACCTGTGCAACCTGGTGTAGAGAATCTGCTTTGGCAAGGTGTCTGGACTAGATGATCTCTTGAGGTCCCTTCCAACCCCTACAATTCTGTGATTCTGTGATTCTATGACCTTGCTTAGAGTTTTCAAATACTGGAAGAACATACAAAGGTCAGGGTTTACTCTGGGATTAAAATGATTTTGTTCTCATTCCTTGATTCAGGGCCAAACAACCAACAACACGTTACTACACAGAGTCACAGTCTATTTCTACATTCAAGTGATGAGGCTCAACAGCCTCAGTCAATGATTCCCACCAAAATGAAGAACAGTTTTGTCATAGCCAGGCCTCACTTCCTTTCAAAACATGGCAGGGGCTCACGCTGCACAGTCCTATGCAGTTTGTGTGCTGGATATTGTTTAACAGAGACCTTCTTCCAGTTGCCTGCTACCAACCTGTCCACAGGCAGCCCATGGCACCTTGGTAGCCCTATGCTGTATGATAAAAAAGGTGATGTGTGTAAAATACAAGGTCAACCAGACGTACGTAGCTTTGCAGGCTTTGTGGGACCAACGTCTATCTGAAGGCCTGGTGTCTTTTTCATAAATCAAATTTCTCATGGTGGTGTCTGTCTTTTCAAAACAGGAGGATGCTATCCAGAAAGAAGGACACGTGCGATGGGGTGAAGGCTTCGTGCTGGTTTATGACATCACGGACAGAGGCAGCTTTGAGGAAGTGCTGCCACTTAAGAACTTGTTGGATGAAGTTAAAAAACCCAAAAATGTCACCCTGATCCTGGTGGGGAACAAAGCAGACTTGGATCACTCCAGGCAGGTCAGCACAGAGGAAGGAGAAAAGCTGGCCACAGAACTAGCATGTGCTTTTTATGAGTGCTCTGCTTGCACAGGAGAGGGCAACATTATGGAAGCCTTCTATGAGCTCTGTCGTGAGGTACGGCGTCGAAAGATGGTCCAGGGCAAGACTCGGAGACGAAGCTCCACCACCCACGTCAAGCAGGCTATTAATAAGATGCTGACCAAAATCAGCAGCTAAAAAGAGCTGTACTAAGCCAGAGAAGAATTTTAGAGCATATTAGCTTGGGATAGGAACGAGGCAGGCAGAGAACATTTAATAAAGAGTGGTCAAAGCTTTGCAATGAAAAAAAAAATAAAAAAGACAAATCACACCACTTTTTTTTGAGTAATACAGGGTCAGACTTTTTTCCTGTTTCAAAATGTATTTAGCCACACTGCTTCTGGCTAACATGGAAAAAAAAAAAAAACAAAAACAACAAAAAAAAAGCAAGCAAACTCCAAAGGACTAGATAATTGTGGGGATTGGCACTGACAGAGCATCTTCTGCTTCTACAAAGCTGGCTCCAGTCCTCTGCAGTTCAGTAGTGCCTAAACATCATTTCCAGCCAGCCAGCTGCTCAGTAGCCATTGGAGAGTGAGATTCAGTCCTCAGTCCATCAACAACCATCAGAACTGGTGTTCTCAAGGACTGAGTACATGAAGAGGCTGCTGTGTTGTTCCAAAAAAGTTCATCTGACACCTTTCACCAGCTCTAAATCAGCGCATTGTGTGCTTTTACTCCAAACTGTCCTTCCTTGTTGTTATTTTTGTCAAATCTAAGTGCTGATGTTCTTAGCAAGGTATGCAAAAAATATCAGAAAGGTCTATTTCATGGAGCGTTTAGCCATCAGGACACACATTTTAACAGAGCTGAAGTTCAGCTGCTTTTTCAGATCCTCTGAAAGTGCAGAATTCATCAAGATATAATCAGCTAGTCCAGTGGCGTTTCAGCATTTCCCCCTCAAAGTGCAGTACCACACTTGGGGAAATGGGAGTATATGTGTTGGGAAATCAAACTAAGAAAAAAAAAAATCATAATACTATTGATTTAGTTATGGGTAGTTTTTAGCTTTTGTTTACATTTTTCTTTTGGTCTAACTTCAATTCAAGTAGTTCTTTTTACTCTATCTTATACCGAAGAACTGAATCCATGGGAAGGCAAACATTTAAAGTCTAAGCCCAAACATAAATCAGATGTGAATGGTCTTTACCAGATCAAAATGCCATAATTTCCAGCTGTTTAAACCTCCAGATGTTGCTTGATGCTCTCTGTGGTTGAAACCAACACAGATTTCTTTGTGACTTTATCTAGCACATTCAAGTGAAAGTGCATTTTATCAGGTTTTTGATGCCTGGGATAAAAAGTGTCCATTTTTTTCTCCTCCCTCCTCCTCTCTCATGCATCTCATTTAAGCCAGCTGTCAATTTTTGCCTTCTGCCTACTTGGCTTCTTAACTGTATGCTGAGAGGTGCATGAATGAAGACTGGAAGATTTTAGTTTCGATTGTGCTCATCTCCCTCCAGTTGTGTTTCATCCCTTTGGGCAATGTGGTGTGCAGCTCAGATTGGCATCACGTAGAACCACAGCCAAAGGTTGGGATGACAAATGGGAATATTACTAGTGTTCTCCTTTGAGGAACAGCCCTCTTGTAGCAACTACTTACTACTTTATTCTCCACTGCTTTGTATTTCTTATGGTTATTTGCCTCTGTGAGGAAGTAACACCAAGAGGCTATCAAATGCAAATTGCCACAGATGTAGGAGAGTGAGGATATCTGGATGGACAGCACTTTGGACAGTTATAGGTAGCCATATAAGAGTTGAAACTGGCTGGAAAATCAAACTTGTATATTCCCATAGACAGGGAAAAGTCCCAAGTCAGGCCTTTTCATAAGGATTTGCTTAAAGATACTTTACCAAAGTAATTTTATTTTTTTTTTAAACATTCTCTCATCCATATCTTTTACCCAACCAGTATCAGAGAACACCACATTTAGATGTATATTTTATTTGTGCTGTTGTTTATTTTCCTTGTTTTCCCCACTCTAGAAAGTGAAAATGCATTTCACTCTTCAGGAATCAGTGTCTATATTTTGGTCCTCATATTCAGGTATGTTGCCATGCCATCAGCTACACACACTGCAATGGAAACTTCATCATGTGCTTCTTGGCAGGGGGTTATTGCAACAATTGATATCACTATCTCCATGACATACCTGCCCCCAAACTATTGGTCATATTTCTAACTTTTGTAAAAAAAAAATAAAATAAAAAAAATAAAAAAGAGAGAGAGGTTTTGACATTTTCAGTCCTATTAGTAATGCAAAATCAATATGAATGTAAAAGAAAGAGCTAGTGCCTGTTCATGCACCAGTAGTCATTAGCTGAAGAGCTGAACCTTCAAATGTGTATGTTGAAACGTCACGAGCCAGAGGGAGCATGTCATTAAGTCATTTTGTTATCTTCCAAATCAGTGCTGTTGCAGGAATCTGAAGTAAACAAAATCCTTACCTGCAATCCCATGGCAACATAGCTGATGAGGAAAGTCATTATGTTGGTATGCTAAGCAATTGATTTATCCCTCTCTTAAGACAACTTCAACAGTTCTTTTCTCTGAAAACCTTTATTGGGTTTCAGAGTAAAGCTGCATTCAAAATACAAAAGGTAATAAATGAATTACAAGAGAAAATAATCATATTCATGTTAGGAGAGTTGCAAGGAAGGAGAGGCCAAGTTATGGCCCTAATACTTTCCAAAAAGAATCTCAGCAAATTATATCTTTTTTTATAATGACTGTGTGTGAGAAGTTAAAAAATCCTTGTGAAAGAAAACGTTCCACTGTGCAAACATGACTTGTTACATAAAGAACCTCTAATAAAAATAGTAACATTCCTTTGCAAAGACTGCATTTGGAAACTGCTGAACATGATAAACAGTCCGTCGACAAGGAGGCTGCTATTTTGTGACCTTTCCTCCTACACAAACACAAATTTCTTTAATTCCTCATTAATTTTTTTTCCCCTCAGTATAACGGGCTGCTTGTCCAGGCAGTTATAATATAGTATATTATAATCTGTCAATGTATATTACATAGTATTAAATGCAATCTGATTTACTGTTGCTCATAACGTTGCAACATATTATTGGCTATGCTATGAACGTGTCGTATTTCTACAAATGTGCAAATTGAGCCAAAAAAGTGACCAAGCATTGAAAAGGCCAAATGCAACATGAACTCATATTCAGTAGCCTTTCTGCAGCAGACATCAACAGTTTAAATTCTGTTTCTACTGCTGCTATTAAAATACATACATGACACTAACAGTAAATTCCTCTCTTCTACCCGTTACCATTTCTGCAAGGGAGAGGATAGGAAGGACAATAAACAAAAAGGGGGAGGAAAGGTGAAATGGATACTTGTTACTTACAAGTTGATTGTCATTTATGAAGTTTTAAAATATTTATCTTCAATTGATGAAGAGTTAGTCATGCCCATGCTGCAAGACCTGGATCAGGAACTAAGACTTTCCCTAGAACTTTGAGAATCTTCTTATCTGGGAGTTCAGTGCAACCACAGATGGAAGTGAGGATCAGCCACTGGGTTTGCACCTGGATCCAGAAAAGTTGTCCCCAAACCTGGGGATAGTTGCATCTGGCAGTTTGCTACAAGGCTAGTTGATTTTTATATATATAATGATCTGTATGCATTTTTACATTAAAAATATGAAAGCTTGTGCTTGTAGATAATATATAAGAAAAAAAATTAAAACAAAAATAAAAATTAAAAGTACTCTCTGTACTGCATTGTTCTTCTGTTAGTTGTCTCCAAAGTTTTGTCTTCCAGCTTTTAAGGGGCCAGTTCCAGAAGTCCTGATTCAGTTTTTATTTAATCTTTATCTAAGGAAAGCAAACAGTGAATTTTACCTGAATAAGCATTTCAGCATTCGGATCAGTTTTTTTTAAACTTACTTGGCTACTAGGTCTGGAATTAAGAGGTCAGGAGCGTCTACAGTGAAGCACAGAACTGAATGTCCTTGCTAACTATTTCAAGGCTGATTAAAAAAACAAACAAACAAACAAAACCCTCAACACCTAAAGTGCCAGGGTTGTTGACTGACTGACATCAGTAAAACCCACCACCCAAACCTTGTCCTGTCAACTAAATTACATGAATCTTGATTACAAGCTTCTCAGGTCAAATCCTGGCTTAAGTAGTCTGGGAGATTTGTCCCAGCAATTTGGATGGAGACAACTCTTCACTTACTGCCAGCTATGCCCATTTCCAAGGGTAATATGCTGTTGTTCTGAAGAGAAGGTACATTATATGTACATTAAATCAATGGCAAACAGTCATACCTAGTGTGGGTGTTAAGCAGAGGAAGCTTCATCACAGGAGAGGGGAACCAGCTGCAATCCACTCTCTTTAGGATTTCCTCTAAACCTAAGCCAACCCAAAGCACGATCATCAGCAGCTGAATGGCAGTGGGGGTATAAGAATGCCACCTCTGTCAGAGCACTGCATGAAAATTGGATGCAGGATCTATGGTGTGAGGTGAAACCTCCCAAAACTAGGTAAGGCATCCTTCCAGGCACTGTCTGCTTCTGTAGTACTGCAAAGCAGCCTCGAGTTATGTCAAGCTGCACTATAACTTGCTCCAGTCAAAATAATGTCTCCTGCAAAAGAAGTAGCTGCAGTCATAAAGGCTCTGTATAAACAGTGCTTGGGGTTCCTTTTATCTTCCTCTTTAACGGTTCAACTATTTGCATATCTTGAGAAGAAAAGAAAAAACATAGAGGCTTTAGTTCAAAAAGGCTTCTTGGCAGTTTAACGTATCTGCCTTTATTTTCTTTAAAAAGTTAAACATATAATGAGAATAATGTCATCTTAGAAACTCTGATGTTACACACTTTATTTCCATTACAGATGCCAGGCACTAATTACTGCAGGGTTATGAAAAGACAGAGCAGCAGCTTGTCGTCCTGTGTGTTGCAAGGTTACTTGGAGGTGATAATGTTGGCTTGTGTTAGGCCAGTTCAGGCTGGTTTCTCTAAACAGAGTTCCACACGAGGAAAGGTATTACTGCAGCTCACAGCAGAAGGAGACAGGTTAAGTTCCCAGGGCAGGACTCCACTGATTCCAGTGGGGTTATGCATGGTAAGGATCAAGCCCCTGGTTCACAGCCTGGGTAACCAACATGT